CTAGCCCGCGGACCCAAAACGCCCCTTTATCGTAACCTTTATTATACGGTTTGCAGCACTCACGAGAATCTGTAGTGTGTATGATGATTTATTAGTATTATTATATCTTGTTATATCTCGTACTCTCCCGAGTTTAAGTTTTTTGTGCCAGGTAGGATTCAGAGTTCTCATAAGATGTTGAGTACTCGGGTTTGATGGCTATTGGGAATTGACCCGTTAAGGGTGATTTGGGTCTAATTTACTTCTCTATACAAATGGGAGAGCTTAAGATTCAATATTCATGCTATAGTAACATTATTATTGTAGCAAACATGAAACTGGACAACGCGGTTTTAAAAAATATTACTGTAGCACACGAGAATACTGTAGCTAAGACAGGATACCGTAGCAATTTAAAAATTGCTGTAGCAATTAAATCTGGGATTACTGTAGTGAGGGAAAACAATTTCACACTAGTTTATCCAATTATAAAACCACAAATAGTATGTGAAGTATTTAAAGTACAAATATGCAGACGACCTTGACCTGCATAAGACCATCTCCAACCACCCTCCAAAACTCCAAAATCTCCAAATTTGGAGAGTGGAACCTCTCCAACCACTCTCCAAATTTGGAGATCTTCAAATTTGACCCTCCAAATTTGGAGGGTGGGGAGAAATTTTGGAGGGTCTCTCCATAACCCTATTCATGATTTTTTATTTACAATTTTGTCATTTTTAACTATTTGATTTCTTTAAATTTACCACTTTGTCATCATTCTTAGTAATTTAAATTAGATTTTTAATTTCAAATAAATATAGTTAAAAAATTATTAATCTAATATTTGAAATTATTATATATTTGGAAAGGGCTCGTTGAGATCTTTAAAATGAAACTAAGATTAATTTATTTTAGTATTATTATAAAATTATTAATTTTTAAATTAAATAAATAAGTATCAGACATGAAATTTAAAATACGGGGATCTATTTAACTCGCTCCATAAAAAGTACAAGCATAAATTACAATATTTAAATTACATGTATGCTTTCACTGTTATTTCAGAATTTCTTCTTTTATGATATGTTGTATTGCAGTATTAATATTGGGTTCATTTTAAAGCTCTCATCGACACCTTTATAATGTTATAAATTTTTTTCCCAAATAAATTATTAACAATGAAATTATTAACGTAAACTATATCCAACATTCTTTAATTTATATGGCTTCTTTGACAAAAAAAATAAAAAGAAAAACATTTAGAGAGTGTGGGTTGGAGCAACCCTCCAAATTTCACCCTCCAAATTGGAATATTCCTAGAATATTCCAATTTGGAGGGCCAAATTTGGAGGGTATGGTTGGAGATGCTCTTATTTTTTTAAAGGGCATTGCTACAGGGACCCTTAAAAAAAGGACCCCTATGGGACAGGTGAGGTGTCAGTTGCTGGGGGCGCGATTTACTGTTCATGAACAGTAAATCACGCCCCCAACAACTGACACCTCATCTGTCCTATAGAGGTCCCCTTTTTTTGGGTCCCCAGGGCATTAATCTTTTTTAAATACGAGGTTTGGCCGTTTTGGAGTGATGTCGAGCTTGGAACCTACGATAAGTCAAGACTGAGTCGACTCAGTCGAAAATACGGGGATCTATTTAACTTGCTCCATAAAAAAATACAAGCATAAATTACGAATATGAATTTCCCACTGGAAATCAAGGAGGATTTTCTCAATTTGCGGGCGAAGCTGGTTCTGTAGGAAGAAATGAATATGGTGGTTCTTTGAGAGATCGAGATGGAACCGGTAGTTATAACGATAATAGCCTGCCAGAATTTTAATCGTCTCTTATCATATTTTATGTTTGAGGTTTATGTTTGCGACTTATGGTATGTTGTATTAGAGGTTAATATCACGTTGTTCGAAACGCATATCCCATAGGATATTGAGACGCTTGATCCAAGGATCATCAGTCGATTCCAGTAATTCCTTGTCACCCCCCGCGTCTTCGTCAGGATGACTTGTTGAAACCATGTTCACAGTCAAGTTTTTAAAGAAGGGTCCAATACTAACGTCGGACTCGTGTATTGCAGTATTAATATTGGGTTCATTTTAAAGCTCTCATCGACACCTTTATAATGTTATAAATTTTTTTTCCCAAATAAATTATTAACAATGAAATTATTAACGTAAACTATATCCAACATTCTTTAATTTATATGGCTTCTTTGACAAAAAAAATAAAAAGAAAAACATTTAGAGAGTGTGGGTTGGAGCAACCCTCTAAATTTTACCCTCCAAATTGGAATATTCCTAGAATATTCTAATTTGGAGGGCCAAATTTGGAGGGTATGGTTGGAGATGCTCTAAGAGTCGGAGTGTTGTTTGTCATCGTCCAGGTTTCTGTGGTCAACTTGTTGTTGCCTGAAAAACATCAAAAAAAAAAGGGCAGTTGTAAATTAAATTGTAGTCTAGAAATTATCCATGAAGGTATTCGACATATTTAACGTATACATCTTTCATATGACTCTTTTGATCTTTATATAGTTGTTCAATATTAATTCACACGAACCCATCTACTTTTTAAATGTTTATCTACTTTTCATTTATTTATATTTATCTTCCGTACAAGTCAACTGATTTAGATTAAACGAGCAAAATTGACTCACAATGTATATCAAACCGTTGAAATATAAATAGATTTAAAAATAATGTTGAGTATTTTGTGTTTAAGAGTAACTTTAGAAATGGGTGACTTTAAATATAAATAGTACAACTTTTGATTTAGAATGAAAATGTACAAGGTTATAACAAAATATAGAAACTCACATATGATGAGCAGGCGAAAAATGTAAAGTGAGTTTAAGATTTGTTCAAATGAGTATTTTGGATCTCAAGAGTGATCTTAGAGATGAGTGACTTCAATAGTAAATGAAGGCAAGGTTTCGAACGTAATACACAAGAACTCCTTTTTTGAAAGAAAGTTTAAAAGGCAATGGGCTAAAATGTTGGGTTTATACAAAAAAAAAACATTTTCAATGCTGCCTTATTAGCGTGGAAAAAAATGCAACACAGTTATGTATTTGATTTATGGGGTACATGATGTATCAAAATAGCAGGATTGTTATGAAAACCGCCCATATAAAAGCGGGGTGATTTACACCATTAATAAAATAACTATAATTCGCAAACTAACACTACCACATAATTGATCTATTGCAACGGTTAAGACACAACAGTTTTAACTGTTGCGTTAGATATCTATCGTAACAGTTTTCAGGGTGTAATACAACATTTAATATAAAATGTTACCATAGGTCTAATAATTATTTCTGGGCTTAATAATTGTTAGTGGCCTTTGAGCTTGAGTAAAGCCCATTGTTTGACCGCACCGCTTAAACCGCACCAACTTAAAAAGAAAATCTCTCTCTCTCTCTCTCAAATCCCTAAAATCGCCGCTGCCATGGCCAAAACTCCCTAAAATCGCCGTGGCCAAAACTCCCTCGTCGCCGTTTTCAGTCCTCGCCGGAGTCCGTTTACTTTCGTCGCCGTTTTCATCTCGTTGGTTTCATCGTCGAGCTACTCTCGTTGCTCCAGAAATCGAGCCCAATCTCGCTAACCGGAGCTTTCTAGGGTTTGCTCCACCTATCTCTTCTCACGATATTTTGATTTCTCAATTCGCACTACCGCTTTCTGAGTTCAAATTGATTTTTCCAGTTAAATTTAGTGATTTCTATCTGAAAATGAAGAGGACAATTCTCGACCTAAAATTTTCATTTGTCATTGCATTAGATTTCTGCATAAGTATTGTTATATTCGGGGTTGCGATTGATATGTTTCTTTAGTGAGTTTGTCCTGTTAATTTGGTAGATTAACAATATTCCTTAAGCAGAAGTAACCGGGGAAAATCAAATTAAATGACATACCAATAAGTGACAAAGAAATAGTACTTTTTGGAAGATAAAATTACGTATCCAAAAGTTTAATGTCCGTAGCCTCATTAACTGGAATTAATCTCTGTACCAAATCTAAATTGAATATTCCGATTCTAGAACCTTTTATAAGCATGCTTTGATTTGCATATGTATTTGTCTGCTATGAATTCAAAGTTATTGACTGGGGAAATTCAAAGTTAGCTTTTGAATTAGACTTACAAAAAAAGATCTCTCGTGGTATATTCCTTGACTTTTAAATACAGGTTCAAGCTTGACTTGATTATTTTTTTTCTTGCGATATTCTCAAGATATTTACTACTACTTTCAATGTATTAATTGTGTCATAGCAACTTAGTTTTTGCGATATTCGCAAGATCTTTACTACTACTATCTTTACTACTACTTATATTTGTTGTTGACTCGAGCGACACTGATAGGTTGGTAACTGCCAAGGAAGAATTTCATGCTATCTTGGGGGTACCCACATTCTGATATTCACTTTTTATGTGCAACCAGTAACTTCCAGTACTATTTCATGAACAATGACTAAAGGATTGGTAGCCCGACAGGAGTGGTACACGTTGGTAAGAAGCATGTGCTTGAGGTTGTCTTAATTTTTATCTGTAACATGTATTTTCCCCCCTGTTGAATTAGTTTTTCTGTTGAAATACACTCTTCGAAAATTTACATACTATACACACATAAACATATAGGGTTCTGTTCATATTACAATCTAGATTCTTTCTTAATTGTATATCAGGCCTCCAAAACCTTTTAAGGTATTTTTGGATAACACCTTGTAAAAATAGAGTTTATTTTTAATTAGACCCTTAATTCTTTCCTTATATTAGGCCCTCAAATCTTCGTATTTCTAAATAACACTTCCATATCTATCAATTGCAACAGTTTAACAATAGCAACAATTGCCTTGGAACCCAACCAAGGGTGTTGATTAGAATAGTAAATAGATTTGGGGTTGTAAATGTTAAATATGATTATTTGGGGGCCTAATATACACTTAAGAAATAACTTAAGGTATAATATGACACAAACCGGGACATATATATGTTAGAGAACCTTAATTCAGCCAATCACTTAATTGGAGTACAAGCTCACGACAAAAACAAGCTGTACTTTGTCAGTTGGCTTTGAAATAGTAGATGCTAGGAGGTTGCATATCATATTTTGATAATATCGAGTTCAGTAAAGTTTGATATTTATGATGTGTATTTTTTAATAAACTCAAATCAGGTAGTGGTTAAAACTGGATTTGACACTTATTATCTTTCTGTAGGAACTAATCTTTTTTATGTAAAAGAGAGAGCAGGCTTAGGTTCTTAGTTTACAATATGTTCAATTCTTGTACAATGTGAGCTTAAGATTGGAGCTTGGATTGCAGTTTAGGTTGTGAACTATGATTATCAAGTTTGGTATTGTTGACTGATTCCATGTGTAGTTAGTTGAAGTGTACTCAATTACAGTGTTGCACCATTTATATATGTAGTCTTTGTTGCCTTGACACAGGTCAAAACTCTGTGTAGATATTGGACATAGACTTCTACTGCTTTAATTCAACATTAACACACTGTTAACCTATAGTGACATAGATGAATTTATGATCTTGTTAACCTATAGTGACTTCAGTTTATACATGTTTTACTTTGACAAATGCATCCTCGTTATCACTATTCATAACTTGTTAATACTGCAATGGTAGCTACTTAAACAAGTGATCTATATTATTCTTCTCTTAGCTAGTTTTTATTATCTATTTTTCATGTATCTAGTACTTATGTGATTCTTTTCATTTATTACTACTTAAACAAGATTGGAGCTTGGATTACTAGTTTTTATTATCTATTTTTTATTATCTATTTTTTATGCATCCTCGTTATAACTATGCAATCTATCTCCTTCATAATGTAGGTATACTTCTCCTATAAAAGAGTTTTTGTCTTATTATGATACTAACAAGACTGCTGAGACAAACTTCAGGGGTTCTGTGAAATTTACCCTTTAATGGAATTCTGATTTGCTGGAATTTCAGAATCTAATTACTTTAACTAATTAATCTGTTTCGTGGAGAGCATTTTTTATTCTCACCATTGATTCTAAATTCAAAAAGAGATTTATAAAATTTGGCATCAGGTTGGGGGACTGATTTCATAAAACTTATAGTAGACCTGGGATCCTATGACTACTGGGAGTCAACAATCCTCCAAAAATCAAAAGGCTGTCTTTATAGTAGGCATGATATCATTTATCTTGTTATGCTTCACAGATAAATATTTGTGAAATACGGTATTTTAGTTCCATGATGTGCTTAGTTTCTTACTGTGTGAATGAATTCCCAATCAATTTACTTGTTACAATTTACTTATTAGAAGTTCTATGATTATGTAGAAAGCAAGTGCAAAGAATAAGGAAAGTCGAAACAGTCAAACGCTCTTGCACACAGCGGGTTCAAAAAGTTTCGCAAGAATTCGCCGAGATATGGTAATCATGATGTTTAAGGCAAGTACCTTTTACACTTGACATCCAAGCTTTTGTCAACAAAAATTACCATGATACACATTGTAGATTAGAGCTGTTTATGCATTTTTTAGTTTCTGATTGCTTGCTTGACTTCGGTGTTGGTTGAAGAAACAAAAGGATGTCCTGTTTCCTGCTTTACAAGAGACTGGGGAAAATGTTATTTGGACTTCTAGGCTTATTTTTGGAAAAGGAGAGGTATTTACTTTCTTTTGATTTCATTACATTCTTTTATTTTATCATTTTCCTAATATATATTGCTAACTTATCTTGCTAAAGAATATCAATTTCGGGTACTATTTGCTGCCCTGATTTATGTTAATAGCGGAGCTTAAGATATGCAGAGGACTTTCAGTTATTGAAGGAAAAAACAGCGAAATTAGGTATGTTCCTGATCCAGCAATCACAATCACTTGTTCTAGTATGAGGTATGGTAATTACAGGTGTATTTTCAAAGAACAAGGGAACAGACACAAGACTACACTCTTATTATAGGGGGGAAATTTTTTTTCGACGCTAACTCTAATACAATGTTCTTTTACGCTTGCAGAAGAACAATATGGACATCCCAAGAATAGCTTCCTTCAGAGTCGCCATCCACCCAGAGCTTTTTCTAGTGCTGAAGGCAGAACAAATTAGAGGTACAAACATTCCTCTCTTTTGAAGCTTTAGGCACATAATCCACATTTGACATGTTTTCACCGACAACAGCAGCTTTGCTCAGTGATGTGGGCAGATGTACAGAAACTGAGAAGGGGAAAAAAGAAGAAGAAGAAAAAAAAGAGTTGAATTAGAAATTTCAGACGCATTGCAAAGCATTAAAAGGCAACATCAAAATAAAGTTATACAAAGTTGTACTACTACATAGAAGTGAAACCCAAATAGAAAAGAACTCCCTACAAATATTCAATGCCTGAGTTGTGAAAACTTAATAATTTGTTGCTACTCAAATATTAAAATTGTACTTTATTAAAGAGAACCGGGTCTTCTCTACTCCTTATTTATTTATTTATTTATTTATATCACGGTTTCCTCCACTCTTGATTCATACAAATAGTACCCGAAATTGATGTGAAGATTACATGATATTTGATGCGTTTCTTTATTTTTTGCAGGGGATATAAAGACTTAAATAGGAGAATGCGGTCAAGATAGCTTTGATAAATGAATCTTTTGGAACAGACTTGTACATGTGAATTTATCATATTTTGATGGTTGTGAATTGATCATATTTTGATGGGTTGAAGTTGTATTGTAACTACTTATTTTTGAATGATGGGCTTAAAACATATGAATGTTTCATTATTTTTTATTTTGATGATATCTTAATGTAGTGTGTTCTTATTCCATTTTTATTTTGGTTTACGTAATTGTGTTTGCTTATTGGTCAAATTTCTTGAAAAGTGCTGATATAGCCTTATAAAACTGTTGCTGTAGCCTTATAAAACTGTTGCCATAGCAAAGTAAAACGTCGCATTAGCTACAAAACAACTGTTGCCTTTGGTCCCTGATTTTAGAAAAACCGCTGCCCTTGTGTACGAAACCGCGACATTAGGTATCAAGAAACTATCGTCGAAACCTGTTGCATTTGTAATAACTGTTACCTTTGTGTATGGAACCGCTACATTAGGCATCAGTAAACCGCTACAAAAAACGTTGCATTTTGTGAAAAACGTTGCGTTAGCCTTGTCTTAGAAACCGTTACGTTAGGTTTTGCAATCGCTGCCTTATGTCTAGGGCAACGGCAGCAATGAAGACAGTTTGATAACCGCTGCGCTTGAACAACTGCAACGGTTTAGATGCTAATGCGACAGTTATAAACCGTTGCGTTAGAACAAATATGTGGTAGTGTAACTATTTAACCACCCATGAGTGATATAGATTACTTTATTAGATAATGTGTTCTGATAGAATCCCTACCCTATCTAACCATCTAGAATAAAATTTTACATGTTAAAATAAAATATAACAACTTACATGTATAGAAAATTACCAGAATACTTTTGATTTAGGGGGCGTTAGTCAGCTAGAACATTTTTGATAGAAGTGGAACAATTTTTATTATGTGATAAAATTTTTTATGTGAGATATTTTAATGGGATAAATGGGAATGATATTTTAAAACATGATACTTTAGTGGGACAATTGTTAGTATAATCAAGGATAATTTTTTAGAAATCAATAAGCATATAAGTCATGTATTTTGATGATCATACTATTGTTTATTCATTTTAAACTTATTATTATTATTATTATTATTTTAGTGTTAATTAATCTTGAAGAACTATTAGATGGACTATAAGATTAACTTTTTGATTTTTTTGGAATTATTATTGTAATATAAATTAAAAAAATGGTTTTTCCTTTTTTCCTCTTTCTTTTTTGATCTACCAGACATTATTCTATGATCTCTCAATTTTAATTATTTTTTAATAATAGATGAATTTTGTAATTTTTAAATTTAAATTAATTATACAATTCAAATATTTAATAAAAAGTAAAAATAACATTAAATAGAAGGGGAGGATAAGAAGAGATGTGATCTACTTTTATGGTGTGGTTTGAAGATGACGGAGAAATGAAATATAAAAATTAAAAAAGTAAATAATAAAGTTCTGGTTTTTTACCATGTAGTTCTAGTTTAAAACTTGGGGGCAATTTGAGAGACTAGAACTCTCTATTTTATATATAAATTTGATAAAAGTGGGATAAATTTTACAATTACCTCAGTTCTACTTTTTATCTAGTTTTTGTTGACTAACACTTGTTCGCGGGAAAAATTGTTTTCTTCATTGAAGTCATTGTTCTCTCAAGTAACTTTTTCGAACGAATCGCGAGCTCCTGTTTTGCGGTCACTCGTTTTTGTGGGTTCTTCGTCTGCGTCGGGGTTTATCCGTGGACTACCGCGCGATCTAGATCCGGTCGGATCGTGTGGATCTCAGATCTGATCTTCCTCTCTCGAACTCCTGCCTTTTCTGACGTGGATGCTCGCTAAGAACCAGATCTGAAAACCTCCAAGTCTTCAAAGCTTCAAACTTTCAAAATTGAGATCTCAATCCAGCAGAGCTTCGCCTCCAAAAATTCCAACCCTTCACAAATGAGCCCATAGCCCTCTATTTATAGCCTCTAAAAGCGGATCTGGGCCTAGATCTGGGCCCAGATCTGAGTGTGGCTCGGTGGCTCGGCCACCCATGGGTGGCTCGGCCATGGCCGAGCCACCTTGGGGTGGGCCACCGAGCCACCCTTGGGTGGCTCGGCCACCGAGCCCCCCTTGGGTGGCTTGGTTTTTGGCCAGGTGTTTGTCGTTGCGTCCGTTGTCCGGTTTCGCGGTTTATCCAAGTTTTACTGTTGATCTGGACTCTGATTTGGTGTCCGGATCCTGATTTGGCAGTAAATCCGCCTCGTCGTTGATCTGAACTCTGATTTGGAAGTCCGGATCCCGATTTGGCAGTAAATCTGCCTTGGTATTTGAGTTCGAATCCGTTCTATGGTTGGATGACTCGTTGACTCCCCGAACCGTTGGCTTGATTCTGCACGCGAATAGATGCATTCCGTTCCTTGCATGCGATTCGTTAACCTCGTCGCCTCGTTAATCCGCTTCGTTGCGTGTCACTTGGCTTCGGCGTTGTGGACTGACGCTCGTGTTTAGATACGTCACCCGATGGTTCGTTGGTTTGTCGAATCATCGTGCCGAGCTATACGCCTACAGATACCCCCTCCAAAGTATTTCAGCCTCGTTCTTTTGTAGAAGAGTCTGGAATACTTTGGATATGATTGTCCCAACCTTCAGTCGGTGTAACGGGACTTTGGAATGGCTTCTGTTTTTGATTCATTCAATCCTTCAGGCTATTCGGTGCTTTGTCGAATGTCTGTAAGGGTTCCGGTGCTGCATTTATCGTCTGACCATTGTCGGAATTCTGAACTTGAAGTCGATTCCTGATTTTCTGATCGTTAGCTCGTGTTTGTTGGTTCAACATAGAACTGACCATCGATCGTTGACGTTGAGTCTTTATTTGCGACGCGTTGTCCGGCGTAGTGTTGTTGAGTTATCCTTAAGAATATTTTTAGAAAAATATTCTCCAGAAGCTTCTCAACCAAAAATAGGAAATAGTTTATACTCGTATACCTTATTGGAGTATTAAGAAGCAGTTTATACTCGTATACTTTTTGGAGTTTTGATTTTTTCATTGCAACGCATTGATCGGCGTTGACCTAGGGTTACGCGTTGACCGACGTTAACCCTAGGGTTTCGAACGTCGTACGTTGACTGTTTGATCGTAACGCGTTGACTAGCGTTGACCTAGGGTTATGCATTGACTGGCGTTAACCTTAGGGTTTTGAACGTCGTACGTTGACTTTTTGATCGCAACACATTGACTGGCGTTGACCTAGGGTTACGCGTTGACCGGCGTTGACCCTAGGGTTTCGGATCGCTTGACGTTTGTTGGAGTATACACAGAGGTATTGGAGCATGGCGGTCCTAAATATTGGGCTGCAGGACCAACTATTAAAGCTGATTCATCTGCACGTGTGGATTTTATCCCGAATTTGTTGGATGTCTAAGTCACGAAACCAACTAATGAGGTTGATGCGTTAGTGACTCTCGCATTTATAGGGTTTTTGGCAAACCCCCAGCCATCAACGGGTTTGATGAGCCTTTACCGACTACCGTTTGAGTCGGGCTAGCATGCGGATTATTAAATCCGTTCCGCATGTGACGTTTTGCTAAGAGAGTTAACGCTCTTAGTGCTACGCTATTGAATACGTAGACTTCATCTTTCTCATGGGAATAGACTACCCGGCGACGCGTGTTAGGCGTTGACTTTAGGATTTTTGGCTAACCCAGTCGGGCTAGCATGCGGATTGTCTAACTCCGTTCGCATGTAACGTTGTGCTAAGAGAATGAATTCTCTTAGACTTCGTGCTATGATGTCGAATACATAGACTTCGCCATTGTTACGGGAATAGGCTACCCGGCAACACGTGTTAGGTGTTGACTTTATCCCTACTTAGGTTTCGGGATAAAATACCCCAGACTGGTCTTCTGGTGTCTTTTTCTACGGAGAAAGACTAAACCGACGACGCGTGTTAGGCGTCGGCATATCCTTTCTTAGGATTCAAGATGAAATTCCCCATGCGTGCAAGGCATGGATTTTGGTGTTATTAATAACAACCTGCAACAATGTTGAATATGTGAACGTGTGTTCTTTTTGACGGTTAAGAACTAACCGGCAGCACGGGTTAAGCGCAGACTTATCCTTGCTTAGGTTTCAGGATAGAATACCCCAGAATCGAACTCTGGTGTCTTTTTCTACGGAGAAAGACTAAGCCGACAGGGCGTGTTAGGCGCAGACTTATCCCTGCTTAGGATTCGGGATAAACTTCCTAGGATGAATCCTAGATCGACAAATTCTTGAAAAAGGTTGATGCGGGAAAAGAAGAATTTTATATTCTATTTCCCGGTCTTCTTTTAGGGTGAAGGCGAACCCGAATACAAGGAAGGAAGAATTTTATATTCTATTCCTTGATTCTGGAAAGGAAGAATTTTATATTCTATTTCCAGTTTGAAAAGGAGACTCGAGGTGGGATCTCCACCCCCAGAATCCGGAAAGATGAAACTAGGAGTGCGACCTCCACTCCGAGAATCGAAAAATTCGGATAATCCTAACTGTCAGAAGGTTTGATTACCGAACTAAAGGTGAGTTTCTCGTTTATCGAGAGTGAATTGTTGTTCTGGTCTTTACTGTGGTTTGTACTGGCCACTCGATGAAGGGTTTTGACGTTAAGTAATCAGGACTTAACACGTCAAGCTTTGGAAATTGCCATGAATTGGCGGACAGAAAATTTAGTGGACCCACCGTCAATTGACTTGATCAGTGGGGGATTTTTGTGAGGAAAGATTAATCTGTCAAAAGGATCGAATCTCGTCTCAACAAGATAACTCATGAGAATTAATGAATTTGATAACAATAATGGAAAACATCCCGACATTTAGAGTTTAAATGTGGATGTTTTACTTATCACTTTTATAGTGATTGGGTTATCCCTAAGAATATTACCCGTGGTATTCTTTCGGTAACTTCCCGATACATGAATAATCCACCCCCAGCTTCCCTTGTGGAACTGGGTCCGACATTGTATTCAGTTATATGACTGAGTTATCCTTAAGAATATTACATATAAAAATTCTCCAGGAACTTCCCGTGAAAGAAATGAAACAGTTTAGACTCATATACATGATGGAGTATCAGGGAGCAGTTTAACCTCTTATACCGGTCGGAGGATTGAGAAGCAGTTTATACTCTTATACTTGTCGAAGTC